TCCTTGTCTGACTTCAGGTCTTCATTTTCACGGCTGCCAAGCAGGACTATGCTGATAAAATTCTGGAGGCCTTTGGACTGCAGAGAAAGCTGATCAGGTGAGAAATGTTCTTGCAGAACTCCAAGCCAATTAACAGGATTGCCAACTCCAGCTTTGTAAAGTTCCTGGATATTTGGGTTGCAGTGCCTTGGGAGGGAAGGGAGCTCAGCGGGGATTTTGGTGCCATACAGTCCACCCTCCAAAGCAGCCGTTTTCTCCAGGGGAACTGATCTTTGTAGCCTGGATATCAGTTTCAGTGTCCCCTCTAAGCTGAGTTAGTGTGAGCTATTCACAGTTTTTTAGCCTCCGGCTCACACATTTTTGTCCTAGCTCAGGAAGGGTGGCTCCAGAGCAAACTAATTGATGCTGTAGCCAAATCGCTCTCTCACAACTTTAATGCCAGTAGCTCACAAGACTCCATAGCTTAGAGGGAGCATTGGTTGTAATTCCAGGAAAACTCCTGGAAGTTGGTAACCCTGAGTCAAGGGGGTTGGATGGAAGGGAGGTGGAGAGTCCTTGTATTTAGCTCAGTTAATCTAGGGTTGCTAGCTCCAAGTTGGGAAATACCTGGAGATTTTGGGGGTGGAGCCTGAGGAGGGTGAGGTTGGGGGGGACTTCGACGGGGTAGAATGCCATAGAGCAGTGGTGGCGAACCTATGGCACGGGTGCCAGAGGTGGCACTCAGAGCCCTCTCTGTAGACATGCGTGCCACTGCCCCAGCCAGGCCCAGACCATCATTAAAGTGTCGAATTCTCTGTCAAATACTTTTAAGTCAATGAAAGCATTCGGGATTGCTTTCCTTACTTTGTTTGGATCATCTTAAGTTAATGCATGAGTTGTTTTTTCTAAAGTAAAACCTCAGTATTCAGGTTAAATGGCCGTGTTGGCACTTTGCGATAAATAAGTGGGTTTTGGGTCGCAGTTTGGGCACTCGGTCTCTAAAACGTTCGCTATCACTGCCATAGAGTCTGCCTTCCAAAACATCCATTTTCTCCGGGTGAACAGATCTCTGTTGCCTGGAGATCAGTTGTAATAGTGAGCACTCTCCAGCCACCACCTGAAGATCGGCAACCCTAAACATCACATCCAATATTTCCAAGAGTGTTGTCTGAGTGACCTCTCTGTTGGCATCAGAATGCCAGCCTAAAAGTAGCCCAGAATACAAATGTTTTCCTGCAACAAGGCATTCCTTCCCACGTGAGAGAGGAGGTGGAATGCCTCTTCTGAATTATACTGCTAGCCGCCTGCCACTTTTATATTGTCTTATACACATATAGGAGCTGCGGTGGCTCAAGTGGTTAAGACGCTGAACTGCAGGCTGTGGAAGGTCAGTAGTTCAGCAGTTCGAGACCCGAGTGTGCCGCATGACGGAGTGAGCTCCTGTCTCTAGTTCCAGCTCCTGCCACCCTAGCAGTTCGAAAGCAAGAAATTGCCAGTAGATAAATAGGGACCACTTCGGTGGGAAGGTAACAGCGTTCCGTGCGCCTTGGTGTTTAGTCATGCCGGCCACATGACCACAGAAATGTCTTCAGACAGCGCTGGCTCTTCGGCTTAGAAACGGAGATGAGTACCGTAACCCTAGAGTCGGATTCGACTGGCTTTCGAGCAAGGGAAACCTTTACCTTTTTTATACACATTTTAACATTTTTTTAAAAAAAACTCCCGATTAATCAGAGAGCACCTTTTTACTCGATCTAAACATTTCCAACTGATGGATGTGTTAATCAGCTTAATTGCTGCCCCGTCCTCTCTTCTCTCACCCTACCAGACACGGGCTTTATCAAGAAGACTGCCTGTGTAGCCAGGGCTATTACATCAAGGATCTTTCTGTACTGCAGAGAGACCTGGCCAGGACTGTGGCTGTAGCAAATTGCTTGGAAGCATTTCCTTACCAGGTAAGTGTTTGGATCAGTTTTCAACCCTTCCTCTCCCTCTTTTCCCAGTGCCCTGTAGCTTAAAGAAGGGTATCTGCCAGACTGAACCATGTTGTGTGCAGTGGGGAACCATCGCAGAAAGTGACTCTCCAAGCACATGCTTAAAGGAAGCAGAACAGAAATGTTTTTTGAGGGGGAAACCTCTTAAGCAGATTGACACAGAAGCTAACCCTCTCCTCACATCAAACCACACACTGTCTTGTACAAAAGGATGGGTCCAAAGTAGGATTTCAAGGGAAGAGAGATGGGGCTGTTCCTAAAGCATCTTCTTTTGATGGAGCAGGCCTTGCTTGGGAAGAGGCACTCTTTGGTACCAGAGGAAGCAGGATGTGTGTGTGTGTGTGTCTCTTCTGAGGTAGCACCTGCCATGTTTAGTTAATAGTTGTATTCACATAACTGGGAATATTTTTTTGTAAATGTGTTAATTGGAGGGCACCTTTTTTTTTGTTGATCATCCCATTTTAATGAATCTAGCCACTGAAATGTTAGCAGCCTAACTTCTAATGAACTGATCGCTTTCAAGGAGAACAAGGGCCTTAAGGGTGTCTTTCTGGGGCGGGGAAGAAAAATTCATTCTGGATGGGAGCTGTCCTCAGGAGAGAAGGGAGATATGCCAGGAGAGCCAGGGCTATTTTTGGGCAGGAACACACAGGAACGGAGTTCCGGCTGGCTCCTAAGTTGGCCACGCCTGGCCAGGAACTCATTAGCATAATAGGCCACACTCAACAGCAGGAACTCATTTGGACTGGTTACATTAGGGGTGTGTGGCCTAACATGCAAAGAAGTTCCTGCTCCAAAAAAAGCCCTGGGTTTTGACAACAAACAAGGTAAACAGAATAAGAAGCAAAAGGTGGGTGTGGCTGGATGACCACACTTCTAATAACATGGGGGTGTGGCCTAATATGCTAATAAACTGTGCTGTCAGGGGTGTGGCCTAATATGCTACTGAGTTCCTGCTGTTGGGTATGGCCTATTATGCTAATGAGTTCCTGCTGGGCTTTTTCTACAAAAAAAGCCCTGCAGGAGACGCGTGAGGGGCAGGTCGATTAGCAATAGGAGGAGAGCAAACAAGTTGCCTTTCCTTCTCCAGATCCATGCAATCAACTCTCAGATGGGAAAATCAAGCTCCCCAGATGGAAAGCTGTCATGTTTGTACAGGGGTCATCTGGCTGTTTGATTTACCGGGGAAGTTCCCAGCTTTAAAGGGCTCCTGGCCACAAGAAACAAGCTGAGCCAAGAGCAGTGTTCCCTCTAAGCTGAGTTAGTGTGAGCTAGGCCACAGTTTTTTAGCCTCCGGCTCACACATTTTTTGTCTCAGCACAGGAAGGATGGGCTCCAGAGCAAACCAATTTATGCAGAAGCCAGATCGCTCGCTGACAACTTTAATGCCAGTAGCTCACAAAGTAGAATTTTTGCTCACAAGACTCTGCAGCTTAGGGGGAGCCTTGGCCAAGAGACTCCTATGGGGCTGGCTCAGACTCTTGCCCTACGCCTGTGGCATTGTCTCTGTAACCCACGTGTCAGCTGAGTAGACCCTGTGGTTACTCAGGTTACTCAGGGGCTGTTTTAACTGCACATTCCACCTGCGCTCTTATATTTTGAGCCCCAAATCTTTAGTATCTGAGCTTGCTAAAATCTTCAAGTGGCACTCTGTAGTGTGGAGAAATATAGAAAAAAAAACCCCAAAATAAATGTCTCCCTCCTCCCTGTTTCTCTTCCACTCTGCTAAGACTTCCAATGTGATATTGATCCCAAAGTGGCTGGGAAGTCCGCAGGACAAGGAATTGCTGCACCTGATACCAGTGCTGAAACGTCTTACCCAGGTGGTAAGTCTTGTGGGAATATGGATTCTAAGCAAAGGGATAATTGGACAGCCTCGATAATCACATGAAAACGGGTGAGAAATTCTACGTGTCTCTTTTATTCAATCAAGATTCCATTCCTCACGTCCATAGCAGGAGAGATACTCTTTTTTAAATCAAGTTTCTAGTCCTCATAGCCGGAGCAGGAAATTCCAGCTTGCTGGAATACAGCTTGGATCACCCCCTTTCCTCTCTTCCCTTCTCCCCTCATTTCATTAGATCCTGCCCCACTTCTGGATAGCATTCCTAGTTAAGAGTAGGATTGGGGAAATACCTGGATATTTTGTTGGTGGAACCTGAAGAGGGCGGGGTTTGGGGAGGGGCTTCAATGGGGGGTTAGAATGCCACGGAGTCCACCTTCCAAAGTCGCCATTTTCTCCAGGTGAACCGATCTCTCTTGCCTGGAGATCATTTGTAATTCCAGCAGATCTCCAGCTACCACCTGGCAGCTGGCAACGCTAGGGAAATTGGTTTTCATATCCACCTACCACTATCAAAAGTAGCGATTTTTCTTCTGCAGGATGATATCCGTGCTGAAATAGAGACGAAACATCGCGGCAAGCCAACAGAGGAGGCTTGATATCCTTTTTGGGCACGAATGCCCTTTATTCCCATACCTGGTTTGGTTTGGTGCAATCAAAAGCCCTAGAAATAAAATAGGATCTGGGGGAGATCCTTCAGGCTGTGGTCCTGGTGAATTTTTGCTTGCATTGACTTGAATTTGTTGGGATCACAAGATTGGGAAGTTCGGCAGCTTTGGAAGGATTTGTCATGAACTTGGGGGGAGTGGCAGGAAAACAGATCTTACAGAACGTGACTGCTTTGGGCTGGGAAGACATTATTGTGCCATCTTCATTCTAGGGAGGGTGATAATATGCATCCCCCCCCCTCCCCGTTTATGCGACTTGCATGTGTTCGGAGGGAAGAGAGTTCTCCTCCATCTAAGCCCTAGCTTCGTATTGGGGATTTTTTTTGCCCTTGGCTTGTCCAATGGATGCCTTTATGTGAATTTCCTGCGTCAAAGGCTGCAGAGAGTTTTCTGACCTGTACCATATTCTTTTGTAATTGCAAAAATGATTTTGTAAATGAAAAATAAAACTTGATTTTTGGTTCTCCTGCTTGCTCCCCCAAAGCCCAGTGTGTGTTTTCCTGTCTTAGTATCTACTTCCTCTCTTTTTTTTTGGGGGGGGGGGGTTGGAATTAGGGAGCTGTCTGCAACTCAAGACCCCTTAGGTGGTGGTGAACAAATCTGAGACACTGTTCATAATACTGCTGATAAAGAGCTGGGAAGCAGTGCCGTGTGTGTCTCTTGTGGCTGTTTCAGCACCTGCTCTGCCGCAGTTTGCAAGTCATCTTTCAATTTGAGGCAGTTTTGCAAAAGGAACTGAAGGAGTGCTGGAGTGGGCGAGAGGCCCCAAATCAGGCTGGGCCTAGAGAAGCGTTTTGTTTGCATGTATTTTGCCTGAAAACTTGTAAATAGAGTGGTGACGTGTGTGGGGATGGTGCCAGATGTCGACACATGAACACAACGGCTGTTCTGCGTTACTGGCCGACACGAGACACTGCCCCATTTCCTCATCTTTTGAGCACTGTTGTGAGGAAGGCGAACCCATTTTAGCATGGGCATTGGCGCTTTTATGCCCATGTGTCAAATCTCCGTATGGAGGCTGTTCCATGAATGGGGAGAGGGCAAGGGAGCTTATTGTCCACCTCCTGACACATGTCCAGATACGGGTCCAAGAGAACCATGTTTGGTATGGCGGAGTTCCCTTGCCTTTGCCCTAGGAGGTAAATCCGTCCATTCACTGTACTGCACCCTTTAAAGAACTTCTCGGTCAAGCATTCTTCGTCCACTGGGGTCCACTCGCCAGTGTCCATATCAAAGCGAAAGGCGCCCCCTCCGATAGTGTAGATGGCCCCATTCAGGGCTGTGACACACAGGTCGTACCTGGCAACAGGAACAGGAGACCATCACTCAAACTGGAAAAGCAAATACTTCAGACTCTTTACTATGCAGATGCTCTGCTAAAAGAACGTAATCCTGTTGGATAGGGGCCAAGAATAGTAGGTCCATCTCGCCCGGCATCCTTTCTCCAAAAGTAGCCTGCCAGATACTGCAGACAGCCCCCAAGAAGGGCAAGAGGGTAACAACTCTCCCCTGTTCTTTGTCCCTGTTATTCAGAGGTAGACTAGCTTGGAACATGGAGGCTCCATTTAGCCATCACGGCCAATAGCTGTTGCTAGACCTCTTTCGTCCTTTAGGAATTTATGTAGTTCCCTTTGAATGCCACCCAAAAGTGAAATTGCATGCACATGTTAAGGTGTGCAAAGTTGGAAGTTTGATTGTAAATCCACCTTCCTGCATAGCCCTTGGTTCAGGAATTTGGCACACTTAAAGATGCATTTCTGGGGGGGTCCCCCCCCATGTGCACACCAGCTGTGGGATAGAAGCTGGAAAGAGCTTTCAGGAGCATTGTGAGAACTGGGTTTGAACCAAGGGTCACCTCTGTATTCTGTAGTGGCAGATTCTGCCAGTTGTGTTGGGGGAAGAAGCACTACTACTTCTTGTCTGCCTTCAATCCCTTCCCCATCACTTCCATGGGATGATTCTCTCTCCCCCCCCCAGTTAAAGTATTCTGGAGAGGAAAAAAAGTCTCTCTGTCCACTTGCTGAACACCAAGCTGCATTAGGCAGCTTCTGTAAGGAGACCCCAAAGCAACAGGAGCAAGTAGTATGGAATCTAGGTGGGAATGATAACTGTGCATCCTGCCCACATGCAGTTTGCTGCCGCCGCCCCTCTTCCTATCATCTGCACCAAAGGCTAGATGTGACGGAGATCACGCTCTCACCACCAGCCTGCCGCCCGACAGCCCCTTTCCCATTCCTTGCAAAGCTGCATTGAAACCCAATTGGGGAAAGAAAGGCCCCTCTAAAGGGCCAAAGAGGTGGATGCAGAACATTAGCTCCGCCATCTTGAAGAAATGTCCGCGGGTGGAACATCCCCTTGCAGATCCTCCTTAGAACCGGATCAAAAGAGGTTTTCCTTTGATCCTACTTAAAGGGGAAAGCCCTGGGAGGCCCACAGGTCTTGCTCAGAACGGGCATGGGGTTACGCAGATCCTCCTGTTTAAGTTGGGATTCTTGCATTCTACATGGAAACCTTCCTTTGTTTCCCATCCACAAAACAGACATAGCAACAGTTGTCGCTCGCAAGGCTGTGTGTGTGTTTGGGGGGGGAATGAACATGGGTTCTGTTTTGCAGATTAGAAATGTCACGTATGTGACCCAGTTGTGTTAAAATGCTGGTTCTTCAATTGGGGACCAAATCAATCTCTCTGGATACTCTGCCTGTGACCTAGGCTGATTTCACACAAGGAGCCACGCTGCCGTCATGCCTCCCTTTGCCCCGTTTCCATTGGTCAGTTTCCCACTCGAAGCCACGGGGCTGCATTTTGACCTGTGGCTTCGCCCGATTTTCCCTGCGGTTTCGTGATCCTGTTTTTTGAGGATCACAAAATGCGGGGAAAATGGGGCAAAGCCGCGGGTCAAAATGCAGCCGCACGGCTTTGAGTGGGAAATTGACCAATAGAAGCGGGGCAAAGGGAGGCGTGAGCGCGGCACAGTTCCTTTTTTTAAAAAAAACAAACTTTTTTATTATTCGGATATAACAAAATGTTCAATATTACAACTTTTCTTTCAACATATACCCTTTTCTCGTATCTCCTCCCCCCCCCCTTCTCTTGGCCTTCCGCAATGCTCCCACCCCCTCATTTTCCTTTTCACTGCTCAATTCTTAGTTTACATTAAAACTTCTTCTTTTTTTCAATTCATCATTACATATTCATATTCATTATCAATTTTTCAGGTAACATTCTAACCATCTATTCAATTTCTTTTTCGTATTCTGTTCTTAATAACTATCAAAGCAAAGTAAATTGTTTTTAACAATTTTAACCGCGGCACAGTTCTTGTGTGAAATTGGTCCTACTTAAAAAGAGCCGCTTAAAATCTCGCTTGAGCCACAAGGTGGCCTTAGACAAGCCTCTGACCTTTTCCCTTTGCAAAATGGGTATAATGCTTCCTACCTTGTAGGGCAGTTGAAAGCTTATTGCCTGCCTCAGTGCTTCCTACTTAAAACCATACCTTTGAACAGGTATCATTTACATACTTGAAGTCACTTTGCAGACCCCCAGTGCATTTGAATCCGATCTTGGTACATTCATAAGGGTCAGAAAGCTTGCAAGCTGGAATCGTACCGAATTCTCTGCTCTGTACCAGATATTGCTCTTCTGCAGTGCAAGAGTGTTGAATACACACTGCAGTGCTGTGGTATTGAATAAATACAATGCCTCTGAATTGTCTCCTGCTCATCAGAAGGTTTTTGGACATTTTGCCCTGACCTGGAGGATGGCCCAAGCGAGCCTGATCTTGGAAGCTAAGCAGGATCGGCCCTGGTTAATATTTGGATGGGAGACCACCAAGGAATACCAGGATCACCACACAAAGGCAGGCAATGGCAAACCACCTCTGAACGTCTCTTGCCTTAAAAACCCTGCAAGGTTGCCATAAGCTGCCTATGACTTGCCGGTACTTTCCACCACCACCATATTTTTTGCACTTTCAGCAGAGATCCAGGCCAGATCCACTCACCTAGGAAGTGGAGAGAAAGAGATGACATCCCAAACGTCGGTCTCCACATCCAGCCTCTGCACGGCGCTGCACACGTCTCCGTTCTCATCCAGTCCGCAGATCACGTAAATGTGGGTCCCCACGCTGACGGCCCCCGCACGTTCCACAGGGTGCACCAACTGGCTCGTGGCCTCCCAGCTGGAGTCATTTGGGGCCAAACGCTCGACGTCTGGGATGATGCCGTCTTCAGTGCTGCCTCCCATGACATAAAGGTGGAAGCCGACTCCCACGGCGCAGTGGCTGTTTCGGGCCTTCTTCATGGCCGGTCCCTCCAGCCAGCTGTTGTCCCAGCTGTTATAGATCAACACCCAGTCCACAGTATACCATACAAACTCCTCCCGGAAGTAACCCCCCGTCACAAAGAGGAAATTCCCTGGTGGAAGAACATACAAAATATACAACCTGTTGCTAAATTTGGCACTGGCATGAAGTAGCTGATGTAACCCCCCCCCCCTTAAAATAACAGGGAGCTGGGAAATTGCAGGTATAACAACGTACCATCTGTTCTGGGCAATCTGGTTGAAAGTGTTAAGCGCAATTGTCCAGGACATATGAAAGAAAGCCATTCTTTATACAGCGCATAAATGAAGCAATGGAGTTTGTTGCCACAAGACGTGGATATGTCCTCCAGCTTAGATGCCATTAGACAAACATACCAAGAGTTTGAATGGGAACCTCCATGTCCAAAAGCAGTGTACCTTCTAAGGGTAGCAGGGTCCAGCAGGATGCCCTCAAAGGGACGCCTATAACTGGCTCAAGAGGGCGGCAGTTTTCTGCTGTATTTTCCCACCCTTCAGCAGCTTGCATTCCATAGTGCACTACTTATACAAAAGTTCCATTTTAGCTACTGAGGCTGATAGACCTCTTTCATAAAGGTGCCTTGAAGCTGGTGTCTCTCATGTGGCAGCGAGTTCCACGTGTTAACTCTATCATCTGTACCGAATATGGTTTTTTTGCTGTTAAGTCACAGCTGACATGGTGAACCCATAGGGTTTTCAAGGCAAGAGACGTTCACAGGTGGTTTGCCATTGCCTGCCTCCGCATCACAACCCTGGTAAATCCTGGGTGGGCTCCCTTCCAAATGCAGACCAGGGGTGACCCTGCTTAGCTTCCAAGGTCTGATGAGATCGGGCTAGCCTGGGATATCCAGGTCAGGGTGTACTGAATATACTGCCTGTCAGTTTTATCCAGTGGCTTGGGGAAATCCTGTAGCATAGCTTTTGGAAACCGTAAGGTGCTGCCTACCAGGTACTGCATGCGCTTGTCTGTCTATTCTGAGGCTGGCCAGGATGAATGGAAAGCAGGGGTTTATAACAAGGAAACCTACCCCACAGGCAATGCTCCCTCTAAGCTGTGGGGCCTTGTGAGCAAAAATTCTACTTTGTGAGCTACTGGCATCAAACTGGTGAGCGAGCAATTTGGCTACTGCAGAAATCAGTTTGCTCTGGAGCCATCCTTCCTGAGCTAAGACAAAAATGTGTGAGCTGGAGGCTAAAAAACTGTAAGCTAGCTCACACTAACTCATCTTAGAGAGAACACTGCTCACAGGGTGTCTGTTGTGGGGAAGGGAAAGGAAAGGAGATTTTAAGCCGCTCAGACTCCTTTGGATAGTGAAGGGCAGGGTATAAATCCAATCTCCTCTCCTCCTCCTCTTCTTCGCTTCAAGAGTACATTGCAGAGCCCTGACCTGGAGAGCCCAGGAAATCTCGATCTCGTCAGACCTCGGAAGCTCAGCGGGGCCGACCCTGGCAAGTACTTGGAAGGGTGACCTCCAAGGAATACCAGGGGCAGGACGCAGAGGCAGGTTATCAAGCCACCTCTCTGAAACGTCCTAGCCCCGCTAGGAGTTGCCAGAGGTCACCATGACTTCCAGGCTCACAAGTACATACACACACACACACACACACACACACAAATACACACAAAAAGAGTACATTGCAGAGAGATACTTACCAGGCCCATAGCTAACGCGGGGCCTGGCCCCCTAGCATTTCCTCTTGGCCCCCTCTCTCCCAGGCCAGTCCCAAATTGAATTAATGTGATTGACTTTGATTTAATTAGCTGAGACACCCCCCCGGCCCCCTCCCCCCAAAATCCCTAGCTACGGGATTCTGCCTGGGAGAGTTGTTTGAAGGCAAGGAAAAGACTCTGACCATCTTTCCCCTCTTGTGGCCCAGGGCTTAGACTTGAACCAACGGTGCGTTAGAACAGGCATCATTTGCTCACTATTTCCAAATATGCACAATAAGGCCCCCCCGGGATGAGTGGGCAAGCTGCAGAGCATGGCACACATGCCTCTTGGCCTGTGATTCCCCCAAGTTGGCAGGCTTGCCCCCACCAGGCCTCCCCAGCAAGGTTGCAAAACTCCAAGCTCCACCTGGAGGCTGGCAAGCCTATGCCCCAACCAAGCCCTCCCAGCAGGCAGTTACCTACTGCAGCCAGGGCATACTGGGTGAGGTTCTTGCGCTGGAGCGGAGCGCAGGCCTGCCACGTGGCGCTCTTGGGGTGAAACTGGAAAAGCTCCTGCTGCTCTTTGTCGTGTTTCCCGGCCAGGACGTAGAGGGTCTCGTAGCTTCGGCTGACGCAGGGCAACTGGGCCACGTCCTTCCAACTGGGGGGTGGGCAGCTGTCAAGCTTCTTCACCAGGCTGGCTGTAAAGTCCTGCCCGGCCCGCTTGCTGCGCTTCACCAGGAGGTCCAAGAAGGAGAGGCTCAGGAAAGAGACCCTGACCAGGCTCACAAGCTCCAGAAAGTCCTGCTCCCTGCCCGCTGGCTCCGCCGCCACCCAACGCATCACCGTGTCAAAGACCACGTCCTCCCGGGCCACAAAGAGCTCGTCGCTCTGCAGCAGCTCCACCAGCGAGGCCTTGGGGAGGTCTTCAAATTCCTCTTGAGCGGCCACCTCTGTCCAGTGACTGAGCGCGACAGCGAGGGCCGCCGTGTAGAGGTCAGCACAAGCGAACTGCTTCGCGTAGGCCATCAGGCTGAGGCAGTTGGAGACGTGCAGCTCCCTCTCCAGAAACGTCTCGCAGCGTCTCTTCACACTGTCGAACTGGAGGAAGTCGGCCGTCTCCACTAGGCTGGCCACATTGTGGCGGGTGATGGCGATTGTGCCCGTCTGGGCAAAGTCGAGAAGGGCCCGGAACGGCTCCGTCTCAACCCCCCTGATCAAGATGTGCTTTTCGCCGCGCTCTCGGGTGCCCCCGTAGAACATGGCCTCGAAGTACCGGCTGTGGCGGGCCAAGTCCCACCTGTTGACGGGGAAGAGCTCAGTCCCAACCTCCAGGACAGTGTCATTTTCTGGCTTGGCCTGGTCGGCTGGCTCCTCAGTCTCCTCTACGCCGTCCATTTTTGCTGCTTATAAAGAGGGCCGTCTCCCCTCCAGCCCTCCCTCCTCAAGTTTCTTGGCTCACATCGAGGCCTCGAGACTGTGGCTGCCAGACTGGGACAGAAATAGAAATTATTCATTAACCCTAAAATTAGACCCTCCTTGTCTCTGTGGTTGCTCTGATTATCCACATAACTTATCCAGGCCTATTGTCACAGTTTGCTTGGCTGGTAAGAAAGAATTGGGAGGGGGGGGGGCTTGGGAGGAATGCTATATAAACCCGGTCGCTTCCAGCAAATGTTTGCTTGCCTGATGACTAGAGGAAGATGCCTGACCTGACTCCCATGGTTCTTTGCTCCTGGCTGTCAAGAGTAGGTAAAGCGCTGTTCTTTCTTGTGTGCGTTTATACAACGGAACCGTTTTTTAGGCCTGGGTTCTAAGAAGAGTTTGGATTTATACCCCGTTCTTTGCTACCCAAAGGTATCTCAGAGCGGCTTACAAACTCCTTTCCCTTCCTCTCCCCACAACAGACGCCCTGTGAGGTGGGTGGGGCTGAGAGAGCTCTTGACAGAAACTGCCCTTGAGAGAAGAAGAGATTGGATTTATACCCCACCCTTCACGACCCAAAGGTGTCTTGGAGCAACTTACAAGCTCCTTTCCCTTCCACTCCCCACAACAGACACCCTGTGAGGTAGGTGGGGCTGAGAGAGCTCTGACAGAAACTGCTCTTTTTCAAGAAAGTATCACATGCGTCTTAACCTTTTGTCAACAAGTGAAAGCTGCTTTGGTATAATTATTCACTTCCAGCTTTAAGGAATTGCATCAGTGTAATTAAATGGCCAATCTCATAGAATCATAGAGTTGGAAGGCGTCATAGAGGCCATCTAGTCCAACACCCCCCCTCCGGCTCAAGGCAGGATCAGTCTAAAGCATCCCTGACAAGGGTTCGTCCAGCCGGTGCCACTGAGGGGACAACTCCTTAGGCAGCCAATTCCAGTGCTGAACTACTCATACTGTAAAAAAAAAATTGCTAATATCCCACCGGTACTTTTCTGCTAGTGATTTAAACCCACTATTGTGAGTCCTATCCTCTGCTGCCAACAGGAACAGCTCTGTGCCCTCCTTTAAGTAGCAGCCCTTCAAATACTTCAAGAGAACAATCATGTCCCCCCTCAGCCTCCTCTTCTCCAGACTGAATTGTTCCCAAGTCCCTCAAGCCTTTCCTCATAGGGCTTGGTCCCCGTGGCACTTGTGTGGCAATGAAAGAGGAGGATGGTGGAGGGCAGTCACTCTTTTCCATTTTTCAGTGGCCAATAACACAGCAGAGAATCCACTAGAGCTTGGCAATAAGAAAAGGGAGCTTTGCAGTTGGCTCTAGTCGTTGCTGCCAAAGTTTCCAGAAATCTCACATCTCTGAATGTGGTGTTACGATGGGAGATCTTGCATTGCCTGTTCTTCATGTCAGCAGTGCATTAATACTTCTTTATTTACTTAGATTTATATCCCACCCTTCCCATGAGCGGGCTCAGGGCAGGTTACAATAAATTACAATCAATATGCAATTAAAAGTAGATATTAAGCAATAAAACCAGTTAAAACAGTTAAAAGATGGTAGTTAAAAGAAGAGGTAGAGGAACTAGAGATCGAATTGCCAACATTCGCTGGATTACGGAGAAAGCAAGGGAGTAGCAGAAAAACATCATCTTCTGCGTCATTGAGTATGCTAAAGCCTTTGACTGTGTGGATCACAACAAACTATGGCAGGTCCTTAAAGAGATGGGAGTACCAGACCACCTCACGTGTCTCCTGAGAAACCTGTATAAGGGTCAAGAAGCGACAGTTAGAAGTGGATATGGAACAACTGATTGGTTTAGCATAGGAAAAGGAGTATGACAAGGATGTATATTGTCACCCTGCTTATTTAATTTATATGCAGAGTACATCATGCGAAATGCCGACCTGGATGAATCAGAAGCTGGAATTAAGATTGCCGGGGAAAACATCAAAAACCTCAGATATGCAGACAATACCACTCTAATGGCAGAAAGTGAAGAGGACCTAAAGAGCCTCTTGCTTTGAGTGAAAGAGGAAAGCACACAAGTTGGCTTGAAACTCAACATCAAAAAAACGAAGATCATGGCATCCGGCCCCATCACTCCTTGGCAAATAGAAGGGGAAGTCACGGAAGCAGTGACAGACTTCACGTTCCTGGGATCCAAGATCACTGCAGATGGTGACTGCAGCCATGAAATTAAAAGACGCCTGTGCCTTGGGAGGAAAGCTATGGCAAACCTAGACAGCATAATAAAAAGTAGAGACATCACCCTGCCAATAAAAGTCCGTACGGCCAAAGCAATGGTATTCCCAGTAGTAATGTATGGCTGAGAAAGTTGGACCATAAGGATGGCAGAGCGCTGAAGAATAGATGCTTTCCGATTTCTCAACACTGGCTATTTCAGATCCTTCAATAGGAACTGCTGGACACTGACTTTCGGACCTTATTTAAAATATTTTACAGCTCACTTTTATCCAAGGACCAGACCTCCTATTCACTTCCAACACATCCTGATTGCTAACCATGCAGATCCAAGCAAAATGAGTATGAAGCTCTCTCCCTTAAATGATGTGTTTTTTTTAAAGAGAATCTCACTTTCAAATCTGAATTACAGCTGTATCAGAGGACTCTAAAATTATTTGTATAAGTGTCGAAAGATGTTTGGATGTAAGTATCCACAATGGACAGTCCAAGAAACAATCACTTAAGTTTGATGGGGATAGTCTAAGAAACAACCACTTTTCATTTGATGGGGACCACCCAACAGCTTTCAAATACCAAAGCAACACTCTTGGAAGCAAAAATGTGTTCAGAAATGAACTTTTATTTCTGAATCCAGGAATTCTCCTCCAAACAGGAACAAAACAAAACAAAACCCCACAAATATTCCACAAAGGGGCTGTTCACTTGAATACATGATGCAAAAATTACCACTGCCCCTTTATTTGGAGCTTAAAGAAAGCAGGTAGGACTTCTGTTCCATTCTTCCCCTCAGCTTTTTCTGAGGAAAAAGAAACCCTGATGGTTCCTAAATGAATGCAAAGTAACAACACTGGCTTGGGAGGGCTCACCTTGGCCCAGGAGAGGAAGAAAGAAAAATCCTCAAACATCTCCTGCTGCAATATCATACTGAGCCTCTTGCTCTGTGGCTGACTCCAAAGGTTATAACACTCAAGACTGGAGTCAGGGGTGCTGGCTTGAAGCAACAAGAGAGGTCATTTCCTTGTACAGGACTTGAACTCCTCCCAGATAAATAGAGGGGTTTTATGGGCTGTAATCAGTGCCAAACCAGAAAGTAAAAAAACAAAACAAAACCACAAACATAAGGTCCTTCTCCTATATAAAAAAATACAAATAATTTCCCCTTTCAAAGAGGCTTTAGGTGGGGGGGGGGTAGCTCTGGCAGTCCTCTCGAGTGTTCAAGAAAGAGGCTAGCCATCCTGCTGTTGGATAAATGGATTTGGAATGGCTTCCATCCCATCCTGAGGACAGATAAGGACCACAGATGTTCCTCGGCAGACTACCAATCCCAGCTGACGAGTGTCCTCTGTGAGCTTGTATTGGTCATCTGGATCTGAAAGGGAAACCCAGAAACAGTTATAAGACTGCATCCTCTTTACAGGCACACTTGACTTCAGGCTCAAGAGAGACCAGAAAGCATTCAGATTCTGACCATCAGCCCAAAGGCAGAGGATCATCTATGACCATCAACCTGCTCCCTTCATCCGTCCATTTTTTAAAAAAGGATTAGAACACCCCCAGCCAAAGGAGGATTTTCCAGGATAAATAATAAGGGCATCTCTGGAGGATGCAGAAAATGACCAGTGTTTGGGCAGGCTTAACACTGGCTGTGAGCTATTGTGATTTAGGAATCACAGAAACTGTGAAACATGTTTTATTTGAATGCCCATAGTACAAGGAGGCTAGAGAGAAATGGATCAAGCCGCTTATGTGCCAGGAAAACAAACTTCCCCTGTATTTTAGTTACTAAATTTTTAATGGATTCTAGGCAAGCAAATATTCTTTTCTTAGCTAATTTCCTTGTTCAGGCCATGACAGCTCGGGAAGCTTGTGATAAGACATCTTCTGTAATATGGCATAGCCTGTCCTCTCTGGCTTGAATTTTTCCTTTTATCTGTAGATGGGATTAATACTACCCAAGACCTGTATGTCAGGGGAGTAAAGAGAGAAAGAAAGAGAAGCCTCCATGTTTGGGAACAGCAATTCAGAGACCACTGCCCCTTGCTGTCCTAACTACATTCCACTTCATCTGGTCTTGTACATACCTCTCATGTACTCGATGGTACCATCCAACACAAGGTTGAGAAGAGGGTCAAATCCCTTCAGGACACCACTAGCTGTCAAAGGAGGAGGGGGAAAAGTTCAGAAACCCTCATTAACTGTCCAGAGCTGATTGTAATTTAGAGGAAGAGACCACGGCCCAATGGCAACACCTATTTTGTAAGCCAAAGTATCTCAGGCAGAAAGTGCTGAGAAAGGTTTTCTTGCTGCATGAGATCCTGGAGAGTTGCTGTCAGTCCGGTTATACCAATAGTCCCACTCATTATGAGGCTGTATCATACTTATTTACTTCATTTATTCCCTACCATCCTTCTCAGTGGGTGTGTTCAGACGGGCCGTTTAGTCCACTTTCAGCACGCTTCAGTAACGGATTTTATATCCACGATCACACACCCAACATCTGCGCACCATCCCCAGCCGTCGCTTTCCTGCTCAAACCCCCTTTAAAACGGAGTATTTTGTTACCAGATCCCCAAGTGGTGTTTTCCTGATTCTCCGGTTCTAGCAGCACTTTTCTGACGTCTGATCGCTCCTGCGGTGTCAAGCCATTTCTGCTTGGAAGCCCAAGGCTTCCGCTCTTCACTCACCATTTTATTTTAGCATCGGTGGTATGGGCACAGGCGGAGCTCGACTCCCGCGTTATTAAAAACAATGTTTAAACGGTGCCTAGTTTTGTTGGTTAGACGAGCTGGGGATCTCATGGAGGCCAGTTTCAGGGTAAAAGTTTAAAGGGAAGTGTTCCTTTAAAGTTTAAAGGGAAGTGTTACAGCAGTTGGGTTGAAGTGGAAATTGCTGTTCTGCGCACACGTGAAAATTTCAATTCTACAGATGGGCCGCCTGTGCACATGCCCAAACAGAGAGAAAAAAAAGAACACTTTCGCATGCTCCCGCGTGTGGACGGCAGGGAGCGATGTGGCTGCGCAGCGATCTGGAACAAGGAGGTGAATGTGATTGCGATTCTCCAGGTTAAAAAAAAACCCGCATCGGGAGTGGAGCAATTTAAACCGCTCCCAGCACGCCGTCTGACCGCACCCAGTGGGAACCTAAAGTGGCTTACATTGTTCTCCTGTACTCTATTTTATTCTCACTGTGAGGTAGATTACAGTTTACAGTTTTTTCAGTTCCGCAGGGCCTGCAAGACGGAGCTCTTCCGCCAGGCTTTCCAATAGGAGCCGCCACTACTGTTACCACCAATGATTCTAGTGAAAGCTTGGATCCCAGGTCCAGCCGCCAGGACCAGCGGAGCGATGGATGATGATCAGAGATGGAGATCTGGGATACGCCATCTAATTCTATTACTGTATGCACTTTATTGTTAATTGTTAACTTATGTGCTGAATTGAGCATGTGATTTTATAGAGTTTTTAAGATGTTATGGTATATTATTAGGTACATGGTACCGCTTTGTTAGCCGCCCTGAGCCGTTCATGGGATGGGCGGGGTATAAATATGATTGATAAATAGATAAATAAATAAATAAATAGATCACGTTGGGAATGTGTCGCCCAGCAAGCTTCCATAGCCGAGTGGGGATTTTAACCTGAGTCTCCCAGATCCTAGTCTGACACTCTAACCACTACACCACTCTTGCTCTCCTATGTTCAGATAGGTCCATTTCCATGTTTGCCTACTGCACCTCATAAGGTCCAGTGTGCGCTCAACTACTTCAGTGTTTTGAGTTCCACAAGATCATATGGAGCAGCCTTATAGAGTCAGACCCATGATCCCTCTAGCTTAGTACTGTCTCTTCTATCTAGCAATAACTCTCCAAGGCTTCACACAGAGAAAGGTCTTTCCCATCACCTCCTGAGTTCCTTTAACAGCAAATGCCAGGGATTGAACCTGGAGGCATAGAAAAGATTAGTTTGACCACTGAATTACAAGCTCTTTGGCTAAGAGCAGAAGTGTCTACTTTCCTTACATGCATATAAAGCTATTTTATACAGAGACAGACCAAGAGTCCCCTTATCTTAAAGTGTCTTCTGTCCTCCGACTAGCTGTGATTATCCAGCATGAAAAGGTCTTTCACACCAGTTGCTCCCTGACATCTCTTTTAGCTGAGGACTTTCAGAAAGCATGGGAACTTTCTGCACATAAACTAGGTCTAGTTCCACTGAGCCATGGATATAATCCCCATTAGTTGCAATGCACACAGTTTCAGAATACCAGAAATTTTATGCAGACAAGCCCAAGAATGGAGCTTACCTTCCCGACCACCTTGGAATTTGACACGGATGGTTTTGTCAATGTACTTGGAGAGGTCCAAAATGCTCTCCTTCTTCTTCTTTTCTTTGTCCTAAAGTCAGAAGGGAAATACAAGATACAGTATGAGACGTAACCAAACAGGATCAGATCAGAGTGCGCCCATCTTATCTAACATCCTATTCCCAACAGTAATCAGCCAGATTCCTCTAAGAAGCCCATAAGCAAAGCAAGAAGAAAACAGTTCATCCCTGCTGTTAGTCTTCTGGCAGACAGTACTCAGAGATGTATCTGAATACTCAGTACAATGCCACTGTACATGGAGGTTCCATTGAAACACTATGATGCACCTATCCTCTATGAACTTGTCTAATGTTTTATAAGCAGAGTTCTGCTGGATTTCACTCAGGGTCCACCTCAGTCAGTTCCCAACAGCAGCCAATACTAGACCTTGCAGTACTCAGGGTTATCCCATGATTCCATCTGACATCAGACTCAAGCCTGAAAAAATAAAGTACAACTTCACATAATAAGTGTTTGGCTTGTGGAACTCACTGCCACAAATGGTGATGGCCACTAGCACAAAAACATTTAAATGGGGGATTTGTCAGACTCTATCATTGGCTATGAGCTGTGGAGAGAAGTCAAAAAATGAAGGCTGTTGTCTACAAGACCTGCTTGTGTACATTCTGGAGCATTTGTTTTATTGCACATATTGTGCAAAAGCCCACAAACAAGAAGTGAATGTTCCTCCCATTAATTATCACCAATTGGTCCTAGAGGTAGACTACCACTCAACATGGAGGTTCTACTGAGCTGGAGACAATCGCTGCTGATAGATTCTATGAATATGTCTTAAGCCTCTTCTAATGAGCACTCCAGAGCAGTCCTGCTAGACAGGACCAAGGTGGATTCACCTGGTCCAGCACTCTGTTCCTAGCACTGGCCATACAGAAGCCCCAAATGGGAAGTCCACATTGAACTGCCCTGCATACACCTAAATGGGACACGTCCCCTCTATTTAAATAAACCTACGCTACAACTCCTTCAATTCTTTCTGTCTTCCTGTTCCCCGGCTACTCACCGCCATCTTGCTTTCCACAGGCATCCCACCCTCTGACTCCGCTTACCGTACGTTCCTTCCGTTCCCGCCTCCTTTCCTCCAATCACCACCTCGGACTGGAGCCGCCAGTCCCCACCCCTTCCCCGGAACACACAAGCGAGCGCACAGACACCACTTCCGGTTCTACCCGAAGATTGAAAAGCCCAAGAACATAGAGAGAGCGCGAGGGAGCGGCTTTTCTGGGCTAGGTTGCTGGGTAACCGTCACCTTGACTTCCGGCCGGGAACGGAAATGGGACGGACGCCCTCCTTCTCCCCCCGCTTCCCTCTGCAATACTAGCCAAGACAATAGGAGGCGATGATGGCTCCGAGGGGGCCGGCTTTGCTCGGTTTATGGCTGCTCTTTATGCTGCTGTGGGGCGACCAGGTGAGAGTGAGCGTCTATCCCACACCGGGTAAAGGAGAGGGAGGCCGGCTGGTCAGCTGCAGTTCTCTTTCGGGTCTGGGAGCGAAGTGCCTGTTTCCCTTTTCCACCTCCCCCCCCCCCCCCCCCCCGCATAAAGGGCCGGGTGGGAGGAAGGCCTGGCAAGAGCTCTGTGGAGCTTCCACGTTCTCAAGCAGTCTACCCCAGTGCCCAACGGGCAGAGGGAAATAATGAAAGCGGCTGTTTTGCTATTGTTGGCAGGACTGGGCTTGGCGGGGCCCACTTTAGTCTGATTGTGCACGGCAAATTCAGATATTAGCCATGAAAAGTCAGTTGACGTTTCCTGTTCAGAGGGATGGGTCTCTGCTGAATGCCAAGCACCAGGGGAGAGGTCTTTGCGTGCCTTTCCTACAAAGGTTGACACTTGGTGTTTGTCTGCCCACTTTTGGAAACGGTGCTGGACTAGATACTAGCAGGGCAAGTACATTCAAGGTCTTATCAACGAGAACTAGCTGCAGAAGGTCAGTGGAGCCTCTAGGCTCAAAGGTGGGCTGCTTTTGTCTCTAGGCTTTTTGAAGTGTGAGGTAAGTACCAGGAGATCCAGCTCAGTTCTGTCCAGACCAATCCCTTTTCCCGTGACAACCAGCCATGTGCCCCAATGGGAAGCATCCAAGCAGGGCACGAATGTGACCCCGCCCAATTTGTCTCCTTGGTATTTGGGGATCGATTGCCTTTAAACCTGGAAATTCCGTTTATCTCTCCTGGCTAATAACCGCTGGTGCAATGTGCCTAGAAGACTGTTGCCTTCATGTTGATGCTGGACAAGAGGGACCTTTGGTCTGATCTGGCAGAGCTGTTTACGTGATTGTGTTGGAAGACAATTTGAGAAATTGCTGGAAGAGGAGATTTCTGGGAGTAACTGTTGCTAAATGGGACCTTTGTGTTCAGAGGCAGCCCATCTTTGGACACCCATTGAAAGGCTGGAGGGAAGCCATCAGGGAAAGAAAGTGCCCTGGATCTACCTCCCTTCCTCTGTAGAAAGTTAGAAAGGTACACAACTCCTGTTTTCTTTCATGGACAGGTACCTTGCTCCTTTATCATACCTGTTAAGGCAATCTTGTCTTTACTCCACCCCACCCCAGTGTACACAGTGCTGAGCTGAGAGCTGGGCTTCAAAACTTATCCTGTCTCTGCCCTTTGCTCCTCCGCTTCCCCTTGGAAGCGCAGCTTTGGTTTCCCTGTCTGTAAAATGGGTTCAGCACAGCTTTGCCACTCTCAGCTGCTCTCTGAGGAATGCTGGCGAACCTGCATCATTATTGAATTTGAACTCTTGCTTGTATTTTCTGTTGCACGTGATGCTTGCTTTGGGAGCCAGGTTTGGCTCTTAAAAATAAAGAACAAAAACCTAATAAATCACAGTGGTAAAAAGGCACCCTGGAGAAAAAAACTGAAATGAAACCGGCCAGGCCAACCCGATCAAAGCCTGAATCTCTCCTTTCCCCCAACTGAAGTAGAAAGGGATTTAAGAGCTAGAATGGAGTCCAGTAGCACCTTAGAGACCAACAGGATTTTCAGGGTGAGAAACAAAGCTCCTTTATCAGATACAAGAAAGGGATTTGTCTCTATTCTTGGTTTTGGTCATCTATCTTTTAGTCTGGGTTCTGATCCCTTCAAGCCACCTCCAAGCCAGCTTTGATACTGCTCTCCCTTAGGCTCCAAGGTACAGGTATACCCATTAGCTGTCCACTGCATTTCACTGATTGGGCAAGAATGCAGCACACTTCCCAGCTCTGGCCCAATCTGGCTTTGCCGGTAGGTTTGCTGTTTGATTTGGGGGAGGGGGGGACCTGGCCAGCCAAGTCTTCCATTGTGCTTTAAAATGCAACTTCATGCGCTGATTACGTCATGCTTTTCTGCTGCATGGGGCTGAAGCTCAACCTGTTAAAGGCCGCAGAGCAAGCTGCTGTTGTGGGCCCAGCTGCAGGGGAGCAGCTGAAAAGAACTACTGTTCCTGGCTCCTTCTGGTATCGCAGACTCAGTTTTTCAGTCTACAGAGGTGAGTGGTGCCCAGTTTACAGTCACTCGCCTACCCCAGACATGGGAAGCTGCCTTGCACTGATGGGCAGCAGGGTCTCGCAAAGAGAGAGGTCTTCCTGAACCCAGCAACCATTGGCTGGAGATGCCAGGGATTGAAGCTGAGCGGGGCAAACAAAGCAAGCACTTGGTCTCTGAGTTAGGGATCTTTAGGCAAGAGGCAGAAGAACAGAGCTGTGGCTTTTGTTCATTGAGTTATGATGCTGCTTTATACTGAGTTGGACCGTTGGTCCATTCAGCCTGGTATCTCCTCTGACCGGTGGTCTCTCTGCACAGTCTTGGATAGAAAAAGGGGTTTCCCAGCACCTGCTATTCAAAATCCTTTGACTTGGGGATGAACCTGGGACCTTCCATGTGCAAAACGTGTGCTCAGCCATTGAGCTGTGGCTCCACAGTGTTCACATCCTAATGACAGCCAGGGCTTCCTGGCTGGGTGGTGGACGATTGGCCTTCCACAAGCGGATGGCCGGGAAGGAATCTAATGTTGTTTTTTTGTATGACTGATCTCCTGCAAATTTTAGTGTTTGTTTTGTGTCTACTGGTAAAAAAAAAATCTGTGTGCAAAGAATGGGAACGTGGGAAGTCGTGCGTACCTGGATCCCAACAATTTTGCATCATTCGGCAGCCTACCTTGATTTACCCTTTTAATTTTATCTTAATAGCTGCTGGGGTTGCTGCCAAGAGGGTTTGTGGTTTTTATCTTAAGGTAGCATAGTCCTTCACGCAGGGCAGCTCAGTAAACTGTACAGGCGAGCCAGTATCCCTTTGTAGTTGGGGTGAGACTGGGGTTGGGAAAGAGAGAGAGAGTGCCTTCAGCATAGCCAGGGAGGAAGTTCATGGTGTAGAGGAGGCCAGAGGCTGCTTGGCTCGCAGCTCCAGCTCTTCACTGATGCCCAGCCATCTCTATGGTCCCGTCAGCAATGCATACATTTCTTTGTCACACAGGTGATCAGCCCCCCACATGATATTGTTGGGGCCTAAACCTGTTGCTGGAGCCAGTGTGGTGCAGTGGTTAGAGTGTCAGACTAGTATTGGGAAGGGTTGAATCCTCATTCTTCCGTGGGAGCTCACTGGCTGAATGCATACATTTCTTTGTCACACAGGTGACAACACGACACAACACGATAGTGTTGGGGCCTAAACCTGTTCCTGGAGCCAGTGTGGAGCAGTGGTTAGAGTGTCAGTCTAGTATTGGGAAGGGTTGAATCCTCATTCCTCCATGGGAGCTCACTGGCTGACCTTGGGCTATTCTCTCTCTCTCTCTCTCTCTCTCTCTCTCTGTCTCTCTCTCCTTCCACATAGCATTGCTGCTTGTCGTGAGGATAAAATTTAAGACGCTGAACAGTGTTGGAAGCTTCTTCGTGTTCTCACTGGGGAGAAAAGCAGGGTATAAATAATCTAACTACCAGGTGGGGTGAGGACTCTGTAATTATCTCTACAGAGAGAGGTACCCTGTGCAGAGAGCCAGTTTGGTGTAGTGGTTAGGAGCGCGGACTCTCATCTGGGAGAACTGGGTTTGATTCCCCACTCCTCCACAGACATCTTACTGGTGTGACCTTGGGTCAGTCACAAGTTCTCTCAGAGCTGTTGTCTCAGTGGCTGTTCTTAGGAGAGCTCTCTCAGCCCCACCTATCTCACAGAGTGTGTTGTGGGGAGGAGAAGGGAAAGGAGCTTGTAAGGTACTCTGAGACTCCTTTGGGTAGTGAAGGGCAGGGTATAAATCCAATCTCCTCCTCTTCTGGCGGGGCCTTTACTAATCCAGATCTTCCTCTCTCCCCAGTAGTGGTCAGTGGAGACTGGTCAGGTCTGGCCTTTTGCAGATGCAGTCTTTTTCTCCCCACCCATGTCTTGTCTGCTTCCCTCCCCCCCAATTTGTTTCTCGATCAAGCGCTACCAAGGTGTAAGGGAAGTTCTCGGGGCACCGAAGCTGTGCTTCTCAAAGACCGCTGAGCTGCTGTCTGGCTCAGGCGGTCAGAAGACCACCTGCAGATGTGCTGACCTGGGTTTTCAGCTTTATTACAACAGCTCCGTGAATTCAGGGAAAGCCAGCTCCCTTAAGTCTGGGGGAACAGATCCTCTCTGAATAAGCTGTTTGCAAGCTAGACCGCTTGTCCCCACCCCAGTCTTTTTGTTTCTTGGACACGTGAAGCTGCCTTATACTGAATCACACCCTTGGTCCATTAATGTCAGTACTGGTAGCAGCTCTCCAGGGTCTCAGGCAGAGGTTTTTCACATCACCTCCTACCTGATCCTCTTTAGCTGGAGATGCTGGTGATCAAACCTGAGACCTCCTGCATGCCAAGCAGATGCTCTTCCCCTGAGCCACAGCTCGTCTAACCCTTCTTCATGTTGACTGGGGAGGACCTGCCCCATCTAAGGGGCTTCGTGCAGCACTAAATGAGAAGACAACCCAGAGGCAATCGTGCGGAAGCCTGTGGAGCATCCGCTCATGTAAGTTAGAGCTAAGGATAGCGGTCTGGGAGTGTTGCTTCTTTCTGCTTGGCTTCCTCTCATTACGTAGTGGCTGGAGGTGGTGGCAGGCTTGATTGTGGTGCCAGTCAGGCCAAAGGAAGCACTATTCTCAGGCTTCCCTCCCAACCAGCAGACCCTGTTCTGAAGTCAAGGTTTTCCTGCAAAACTTTTAGATCAGGGGGGAGGGGTGGATGCAGGCTGTACCCCACCCCCACTTTTGCTGTTGTCATTCTAAGCCATTTTAACCTATCCTGGGCCTTGAGGATGGGGGGCAGGCGAGACGTGCACTGTAAATAAGAATCTGTGTGTATCTGCTCCCCTGAGTATCACACATTCCTCTGTACCGGCAAAGCCTTAGAGACGTGTCTGGCGCAGTTTGCAGCTTTCTGGCTGGCATCCTAAGTGCAGGCGGCATTCATTTCTCTCTCTCTCTCTCTCTCCTGGCTTTTGCTTCACCGAAGTACTTGGCTTGGGCGGGGTCCACATGTAGGACCGAAGCAGTAATCCAAAGAGCTGCCTCATTTGCAGCCAGTTTTCAAATGCACGCCTGTCGCAATAATGATGAATAGTAAGTGCTTGCAACGTTTTGAGAGAACCACGATTGTTTTTTAAATTTTAATGCACCTAAATTTGAGCCGCACTTTGGGCGATGATGGCGAAATGGACGCCTCCCCGTTTAGAGGCAGTCTACCTTAGAGTGCTGTTTGCTCCGTGCCCTGCTCATGGGGTTTCTGGAGGGATCTGACCACAGACAGGATCCTGAACTCAAAAGGACCCGCCTTGGCCTAACCAAACAGGTCCCTTTAGATGTGCGCTACCCTTTTTGCGTCTGGAAGTGGTCAGATCCAAGGAGGCGATGCTCGTAATCTGATCCAAACAAAAGAGTTGCAGTCGCCTGGGTCCTGTGGATCCATTCCCTTAGCAGTGACACCTTCTTCTGGTGCAAGGAACTTCTCCATGATGCGTCCGTCTTGCGCTGGAAGGGAAGAAGAAGAGAAGAGATTGGATTTATACCCTGCCCTTCACTACCCAAAAGAGTCTCAGAGCGGCTTACAAACTCCTTTCCCTTCCCCTCCCCACAACAGACACCCTGTGAGGTAGGTGGGGCTGAGAGAGCTCTGACAGAAACGGCTCTTTTTTCAAGAAGAGCTCTTATCAGAGCTACAGCTTGCCCAAGGTCATCTGGCCAGGTGCTGCAAGTGGAGGAGTGGGGAATCAAACCCGGTTCTCCCAGATTAGAGTCCGTGCACTTAACCATTACACCAAACTGGCTCTAGGAGTATCACTGCTAGCAGAACAGATCCATGGGATCTAACCTGTTGCATCGTTATGCTCCCGAGTTGCCCACGGCGGCTTGTTTTGATCGCTCCCTTCTGACCCTCTTAAAATTGCCCCCACCTCTGTCTTCCTTCGTCCTGGTCGTCAAAGGAATGGTATCTTTCCCCCCCCAGGTATCCTGTGAATATGGCATGGTCCACGCCTTCTCGGAGAAGGGAAGCGCCCAAGGCAAGGATTACTGCATCCTCTTCAACTCCCTGTGGGCTCCCCTGCCCCACGACTTGGGCAAAGCCGTGAGTTTTCTTCCGACCCATGTCTATTTGACCCTACCCGGCGGGTGGGCCCCTCTGGCAGCTCGGCCTTGCTGTAAAGCGCCGCGGGGGGCAGCGGATAAAATGTCTTTCTCCTTGCGCTTCTCCTCCAGTCTCTCCTGCAGCTGCAGAACCAGACGGTGTCCGTCTTGTGCTCGCCTTCCGACGTGCCCGAAGGGGGGTTCAGCAACACCATCCCCATGGTGATGCGGGGCAACTGCACCTTCTATGAGAAAGTGAAGCTGGCCCAGATCAACGGCGCTCGGGGACTGCTGATAGTCAGCCGAGAGAGGCTGGTGAGTTGTGGAGGAACGTTCTCAACCTATCACAGGGGAGAGGTGTGAATCTGCAGGAGCACGGCAGCTCCCCACGGTCTCTCCCTCTTCCTTGTTGCCTTTCCTGACACACACGCCCCCCACACACCTTAAGATCCCTTGGTTTGCAAACATTTTTACAGGAATTGAAAAGTTTCTCATCGTTTTAGTATCGGGCAGGGATTTGTTGGAAAGCAGAAATGTGTTGCCTACTCTGTGCTCTGGCCACTGCTTTGGAACGCGTCACGTGCAATCAGATGTCATTTCGGGGGGGAACACGGGGGATCGCAGTTCCCCTGGGTGAGGTACGGGTGCGGGGCACATGACGAAGCCCCGCCCCCTGCTTCCGGCCGCCCCTCTTCCGGCCCTCATTCAGCCAGGAGGAGGCAGGAGAAGAGGGAGGGTAAGTTGCTTCCTCCCTGCCTCTCCCCACCCCTGCCTGCCTGGGGCCAGG